GGCCCGTGACGGGGCTGGGGCTGCGCTGGGCCCGGTCCGGCCGGAGACACCGAGAGCCCGCGCGCCGCCACACGGCTCCTCGCGCACAGGCCGCGCCCCCCCCTCCCGCCCGCGGCCCCGTGGTACGGCCCGCCCCTCGCACCCACGGCCGGCAACAGTGGTACGGTCCGCCCACACGCGCCCACGCCCCGGGGCAGCGCGCTGGGCGCGTCCATTCGAGGAGTGGGGGGGGAGGGGGAAAGAGCAGGGAATGGAGGGCTGCGTGAGGACCTCGCAGCACTTTTCAGTGTCTGGAGTGGCCTCCAGGGAAAGCGGAGGGATCCTCGTCACGAGCTGCAGTGACAAGATAGGGAACAACAGAGATTAGGTACGAGGAGGAAATTCTTCCTTGTGAGCGTGGCGAGGCACTGGCACAGGGTGTGGAATGCCCCGAGCCTGGAATTGCTCGAAGCCAGGTTAGATAATACCTTGAGCAACCCGCTCCACGCAGCGAAGAACAGCTCCTTCCATCCCGCTGCTTTTACAGCAACCCCCCCCTTATATCCATGGTACAGGCCTTCCCCCCCGCCTTTGGGCATTGGTATAGCCCGGAGGCGGCTCGCCCTGACCGTCCCCAGTCACCCTTGGTACCTCCCGGACCCCCCCGCAGCCCTCCCACACTTGGACCGGCCCGCTGGCCGCACGTGCACGCGGAGCCTTCCACGCCAGCATCCCCCCCTCTCCCGGCAGCGCAGTGGTACAGCCCGCTCCTCCCCACTGCGGTCAGTGGATCGGTCCTCGCGGGGGTTCCCACGGCTTCCGCTTCCCTGAGCCTGAGGCGGGACCGGGAACTGGAACCGGGATTGGGGAGCAGGTTCCTGGGTCAGGAACACACGGGCTGCCTCCAGCCCCGTCCCCCGTGGGAGCGCCAGCCCACGGTGGAATCAAGGAGCCCTGGATCCGCTTCCCCGCTGCGTTCCGTGGCTGGGAGCGGGATCCCGGCCGGACACCCCTGCGACCTGGCTGGGCGTGACGGTGCTTATCAACGCCCGCTTCCCAATCCCAGCTGGAAAAGGGAGGCGGTTCCCGTCACAGTCCTGCTGGGGTTGTGCCGGAGCTCGCTCAGAGCCGCCGGCCCCAGCTGGGGCCACCAAGTGCCAGGTGGAGCCAGCGCGGTGTCCCCAGCCTCGGGTGGCATCTCACAGCTCAGGGAGAGGTGGGTGAATGAGGATCCCTTGTTTCCAGCGCAGGCTGGAGGAGATGTGCGATTTCCCCAATTGTGAAGCTCTTGTCTTCCCATTTCACGTGCTCTGACTGTGGAGTTATTAATAGAGGGCCGTGTTTTGTACCAGTTTAAGCTGCTGCAGCGCCTGGAGTGTGTCTGTGCTGGTGAAGTGCTGCCTCCACACGCAATAACAGAAACCCCTGCAAAAAAAGCCTTTTTTGCATTTATAGAATACCTCAAGTTGGAAGGGACCCATAGGGGCGACCAAGTCCGACTCCTTGCCCAACCCCATCAACAAAGAAACCCGAAGAATCATCAATGAAAGGGCAAAACTGAGGGTGAGAAAAAAAGAACCAGCAAACCTTTGTCCCTCAAAATACACAGAGAAGCTGCTCAGTGCCACTTTGCTGGGTTTAATGGCTCTGCAAAGTCATAACTGGAGTCACATAAACTCTGATAATCACAGACCTTAGGGCTCTTTTCTTTCTTTCTTTCTTCAGCACTGTGTGACACCACCTGATAAGAGCAGCTCCGTCCTTCAGGGACACCGAGGGCTCGTCCCCAGAGCGGGCTGTGCCCCACAGGACCGTGAGGGCTTCGCTCCCACAGGGCACTGCTGGACTCTGGAGGCCCAGGGGACACGCTGAGCCCTCACAGCACTACCCCTGTACCTCAGGGCAGCGCTGTGAGCCGGACAGGCCAAAGTCTCGGTGCCATGGCCCGGTGCCGGTGCCGGTTCCCCCTCAGCCCCTTCCCGCGCCTGACCGCCGCCGCCTGGCGGGAACTCGGAGCGCGCATGCGCAGAGCCGCCGGTTCGAGTCCTGCAGTCGACGGTTCGCGTGTGGCCGCGGGTTCGAATCCCGCCCGCGCTCCTCATGCCATCATCGGTCCTCTCACAACTTCGATTTTATATATTCTGTTTACTCTTTACTGCGTTCAGTTCTGGGCCCCTCAAAGGCTCGTGAAAGGTCTAAGAAAATGCCTTGTCAGGAGCGGCTGGGGGAGCTGGGTTTAATCTTAAGAGGAGGCTTAAGGGGAACCTCATCGCTCTCCACAAGCGCCTGCCAAAACCAGGCGCAAAATGCCAGGAGCTGTGGATGAGGTGGGGCCGGTCTTTTTTACTGTGTGAAGAGTGACCTTACTGAGAGGAAACGGCCTCAAGCTGAGACAGGGCAGATTCACAGCAGATATTAAGATTTCTTTTGCCGTCCGGGCGGCCAGACATTGGGAGGGGCTGCTTGGGGAGGCGACGGAGTCACCGCATTTAGCGGCGCTACGTGACGCTGCTGAGGGATTCCGGCAGCGCCGCGCTGACTGGATGAGCTGTCCTCTTCCCACATGCACGATTCCCTGCCTCCATCGCCCCCCGCTCCCACGGCTCCCCTCACGCCGCCGCTTCCAACACCGGCACCGCGCCATTCCACCAGGCGCATGCGCGGAGCGCTCCCGCGGCGGATCCCCCCTCACACACACCACACACACACGCAGAGACACACAAACCACACAGACACAGACAGACAGACACACACACCACACAGACACACACCATACAGACAGACACACACACAGAGACACACAAACCACATAGACAGACACACACACCACACAGACAAACCACACAGACAGACAGACAGACACACACTCCGGTCACACACCACACAGACACACACCATACAGACAGACACACAGACAGACAGACAGACACACCACACAGACAGACAGACACACACACACACCCCGGGAGGGGGCGGAGCTTCCGGCGCGGCACTTCCGGCCCGGCCGCTGCGCGGGCGGTGTGGCCGCTGCGCTCCCGCCGCCGTCCCCGGCCCGGCCCCGCTTCCCCTCCCCGGGCACCGCCTCATGCAGCGCCGCGACGACCCCGCCGGTCGTTTGTCTCGAGGACAGGGC